TCTTCTCTCTCTCTCATTTGTCGATTCACTTCATCTTTTGTACTAAAAGCATCACTATGGCGACTAAGAGGTGGCTTGAGCGACCGGGTTTACACGTTCAGGCGTTCATGGGTGTTGCTGGTAAAGATGGGAATCGTATGTGTTTTTGCTTTTTTGTTTGGAAAGGGAAAGGAGTGGATATCACGTAATTGTAGAACATTTCTTGGCAACGGATGGGACTGGAGATATGTCTGGAAGCGAGTGTGAGCAAGTGTAGTTGTAGGGGATGGGGGAGGTGGGGATGGTGTGGTGGGCCTGATCGTGTCTGTGTAGACGGGTATGAAGCGTTTTGTTAGTTGTTCATGTCACGTTGCACAAGCACTTCGATATATAGCTCCCCCGCAGTCAACCCTTTCTCCTCCTCCCTACTTCCCATCCCTCTCCACCCCCTCCCAACATCCCTCGCGAACATAAACTCCGCTCTAAACCCACTTTCCTCACGTGCATCAGGCGTCACAGTCCCGCTCCAAAGCCTCACCCGCTCTACCGGCCACGCCTTTCTATCAACCTCCGTCTCTTCAACCCGCACAATGCGCTCAGCCAAGATACAATACTGCTTCGGGCCCCAGAGCCCTTCACGAGGCAGATTGGGAGAAAGTAGCGTGATGGCTTCGCGGCAGGTGGCAGAGTGGCGGCAGCGGAGGGCGATGAAGTATCAAGTGGGGACTAGGGATGTGTCGAATGTGAGGTTTGCGGCGGCGCTTAGACGGGGAACTTGTGGGCGTGAAGGTATTGCGAAGGTCATACCGTTGATGACGAGGGTAGCGCAGTATATCACCGCTTTGAACCTGCCAAGATGCGCATTGGATGACGTCTGGCGTACAGAGTGCACACACGCTGTGCCTACCCAGGTACCCGCGCAGACTGGGAGCTCGTTACGAGATACGCATCACGACCGATGGCCGAATGAGCCCGGCAACCTTGACCATCATCACATCAATCGTGAACGCGCACTTCCTAACATCTAGGTTTATACCGGGGCCTGGCTTGCATGCATAAGAATGCACGTTGTAGACGGGTTCTTCCAAGGTTGCATGGGGAGCGTGCAGGCGTATTTCGTACATGCTGCGCACAGGCCGTTTATCGTTGCGGGGCGGCCAACGGCTGCCGAGATGCGATTCGCGGAGTGCCGTGCCTACGTCGACGGTCGGCTTGTTAGGTGCACTGTACCTGAACGCGCCCCACCTAGCTGTCATGCCGAGTAGATCTTCTTCTCTGTCTTCCGCGCTCGAGCCCAAGGGGTGTCTTCGCCAGGGCAGCCTTGGTTGTGTATGTACATTGGGGATGGATCTTCGGCAACGGTGGTTTGACCCACTTGGTACGACATACGAGCGGGACGGAAAGACCCGACGGTTCTGATGGCTCTGGGTGATCGCAGGCGGCGCAGCACGGCGGTGAGAACGGCGAGCTGGAGCTTTTACCAGAATAATATCGGAGATTGCATCACCAAGCTTTTGGTGGGTAGGCGTATCTCGGAAAGGATGAAAGAGACTGGCGATCTATAATATACCTAGGTATACTTAGGTATGAGATATACGCTCTACTTCTCGTCGCATTTGTCCACTTTCCCTTCATTCATTCCCTTACTACGTTCGTTCAGTCCTTATCGAAGACTTCCACCATATCATGGGTTTCTCTCAAAAAGCCCTGCTGGCTTGCCTGACAGTTGCAGAAGCTGCAGCAACACCAAGATCCCAGCCACTGCACCCTGTGCACCAAGCAAACGACAGCTTGCCGGCGATATTTGGTTCAAATGATACCACCACCCTCAAAGGGACTGCTGCAGCCCCGGGTGTGGTTATCCTTGACTACGGGGCCAATGTCGAAGGCCATCCCACTTTCGAAGTCCTCTCAGCCACTGGCGACACTTCTGGTCTAGAGATCACGTATAGCGAGACTAGAGCAGTACTGGCCAGTTTCTACACCGTAAGTCTTACGCCGCAAGTGCTTGAAACGCATACTGATCCATGTTGCAGAGCGATGGTCCAATCGCCTTGGCCGCAGCTATGGACACCTACAGAGTCAATCAGTACAATGTCACTGGGCCCATGATACATACCAATCGACTCATCCAAGGTGGCTTCAGATACCAGAAGCTCAATCTCTCGACAACAGGAGAACTGGTGTTGAAGAACGTTGGTGTGAGGCCTACGATTCCGAACACACCCCTTGATCAACTACCAGGATACTTTCAGACCTCGGATGAGGACCTCAATCAAATCTGGAAGGTTGGAGCGCGGACAGTTCAATTGAACGACATTCCTGCGCACTCCATTCCGGCATTCTGGCAGGTCTCTTCGGAAGGTTCTCTGGTAGAGAGCCAAGCCCCTCAAGTTCTGTCAGGTGGCGCCGCTGCTGGACTGATGAGTTACCAGCTTGCATTCGAAGTCAAGCCTATTGCCAAAGGACTTGGATTCTCTGTACTGGCCGACACTCTCAACTCCGGAATCTACATCTTCTGCAATATCGTCAACGGATCGATCTCAGCACACTTCGGATCCACGGAAGATTCTCCTCCACTTGCGTTCGCAGAATTGCCAGCAAACATCACCATTGGTAGCTGGCACAAAGTGGAAGCCACTGTGGATACGACTGGCATCGCGGTATCTTTCAACAAGGTTCCTGTTCTTCAATTTTCGCAGACTTCTGCATTTTTTGGATCCTTTGGATTGGGCGCGTCATTCGGCCACTCTGCCGTTTTCCGTAACCTGTCTGCTACGACTCTGACAGGTGAATCAATCTATTCGGCCTCTTTGACAGACGAGGCGTTCTTGCCGGACTTCCTAATGGGCACAAACCCGCACGATACAACGGTTGACGGCTCGAAACGCGACCGCATTGCGTATGCAGGCGATCTGGACATTGCGCTCGTGTCCTCGCTGTCGAGTACCAACGGCATCAGTTACATCAAAGGCACGCTCGACCTTCTCGGTTCCTTCCAATTGACCCCAGGATTCTTCGCACCCACGGCAAAGATCCAACAAGAGCCACTTTTCACCCCGGTCGATGCCAATGTCACTGGTCTGATTGGCTACTCTTTCAACCTCCTCACCGCAGCCGCAAACTTCTATATGCGCACCGGCGATGTCGACATGCCAAAGAAGTGGGCACCCAAAGCCGTACGCATGTTGGACTGGGCACACTCTCAGATTTTGCCCGAAAGTGGGTTGTTGAACATCACCAACCCTGCCTTGGGCGGCGACTGGAATTACTACGACCCGTCACAGGCGGGTGTTGTAACCAAGTTCAACATGGTCTACGCATACGCACTCCAGGAGTGCATCGGGCTCCTTGCAGATGCCGGCATCGACACCAAGCCATACATTACCCGCCTAGATGCTCTGCGCATTGCGATTGACCAGAACCTCTGGTCGAATGAACTCAACGCCTACTACGTCTCCCAGTCCATCAACAATAGCTTCGCCCAGGACTCGAATGCTCTGGCCATTCTCGCTGGTGTGACTAAATTCAACCACACTTCATCCCGCGTTCTGAGCACCCTCCAGCAGCTTTCAACGCCAAAAGGCCCTCTTGCGTTCTCGAACGGAACGATCGCAGCTGGGTTCTCCAAGTACATCAGTCCCTATGCAAGCGCCTATCACCTTCGAGCCGCATTCGAGGCCAACGACAGCGAGACGACCATGGATCTGCTTAAAAGCCTATGGGCGCCAATGGCCGACCCGCAAGGAGCCAACTACACCGGATGCTTCTGGGAGACTTTGGACGCAGCCGGTGCGCCTGCACTGGGGAGGGGGACGAGCCTCTGCCACGGTTGGGCTGCAGGTCCCACTGGGGAGCTCAGCGATCATGTCTTGGGATTGAAGCCCGTAACTCCGGGGTACACTGAATGGCGAGTCGCTCCTGTTACGCTGGACCTCAAGTGGGCTAGGGGCAGAGTCCCTGTGCCGGGCGGTGAGATCTTCGTCGCTTGGAATGCTACAGGGCGTGTTATTACTAGGTTGGAAGTGGTGAGCCCCAACTGCACTTCGGGCACGGTTGTCCTGCCTCTGTTGTCGCAAGACGGATATGTTGGAGGTACTTTCAGGGTGAATGGGGAGGTTGTGGCGAGAAATGCGACATTCAGAGTTACAGGGGGAAAGCCTTTTGTCTTTACATACGATGTCTAGCCTCCGCAGTGTAGTTCAGTCCTGTTCCCAAAGCTCTGTGCGTTAGCTTGATGCAAAAGTTGTACAAAATTGTAGATGTAATCAAAATTTTAATCCGATCCCGACATCACTGGTAATTCTGTGAAGGAAGTCCGTCGCAGCGCAATATTGTCCAGCAAATAAGAAGTCCAATCGTTAGTTTGTTATATGTACTAGAATCGCATTTGCGGCCAGTACCTGTGCCTTAATGTGGGTAAGCAGGGTCGTCTTTGAGTGTAGGTGCGAGGAAGCTTGCCTGCTTACTTGAGACAATGAGGTCGTTTCTCGTCACACTTTACGCGACGTTTTCTGGTGTCTGTTGGTAAGCTTTGGCAATGCCATCGCGGAGTGTGATGAGAATAAGTGGTGCGATGGCCATATCGCGTCGATGTTGATGACACGAGATGGATGGCTCCACAAAATCCGGCAGGGCGTGGTATCCGCCGCAACTCAAACGCCCTTGACTCATCTCTTCATGAAGGCTGTTCACGCCAACACGCTCAAAAGCCACTTTTTATGCTGCAATGCATCGTCCACATCTCCTTAACATACATTCTTTTCAAGATCATGACGTGTAAAAGCAGGAAAGCTGTATTGCCGTTCCCCATCAACCCGCATCACCTAGCGCGTCCCAGTGTGGGGTAAACCTCTCCACGCGGCAGTACCCCTCCCGTACCTACAAAAGCCATGACGATACCGCACGCCCTACGAAGAGCCACAACATTAAACATCCACCAAGCAAAACCCCACGCGGTCTTCACAAGTCGTGTTTCTTTCTTCCCAGGAAACAAGCAATTCGCATCTCGTCCCCGCAACATGAACACCCTGCAAGAAGCAAGCCGGGTATACAAGGCTTTCCAGAAAGGAGGGCCGACTTTCGGAGGATGGCAGGTAAACAGCATTCAATAAGAAGTTGACTCGATGTCAAGGCTGATGGTGTGACAGATGCTTCCAGGCACGAATCACGCGCGGGCAATTGCCCGTTCAGGCGTCGATTGGATATGCGTCGACACCGAGCACGGCAACATCAACGACAGCCAAATGCACGAAGCCGTGACCGCCATAGCCCACGCGGGCGTAAGCCCTCTCGTCCGCATCGCCGCAAACGAACCCTGGATGGTAAAGCGTAAGTTACCCTTTGCCACTTTCCCCTCCATCCCAAGGTCTCAAAGTGGCATCTAACACCACCCCAGGCGCCCTCGACAGCGGCGCCCACGGCGTCATAGTCCCGCTCATCTACACAGTCGACGACGCCAAAAAACTCGTTTCCTCCGCCAAATTCCCGCCAGAAGGAACGCGCGGCTTCGGCTCACCGCTACCAACCCAGTGTTTCTCAAATGAACCACTGACCTACTACCTGCGCCACGCAAACACTTCGCTCCTTACCATCGTGCAGATAGAAACAGCGTCGGCGCTGGCCTGCTGCCGTGAAATCGCCGCCTTGCCCGGCGTTGACTGTTTGCTGATCGGGCCCTTTGATCTTGGTAATAATATTGGTCATCCTATTTTGACTCCGACCATGGATAAGGAGTTGGAAGACGCGATTGAGACGATCAAGGAGGCGGCGCATGCAGAGGGGAAGAAGGTGGCTATGTATTGTAACTCGGGCGAGGATGCGAGGGGGTATGTGGAGAGGGGGTTTGATATGGTTAGTGTGTTGACGGATCAGATGGGGATTACGGGGGCGTTTGAGCGGAGCTTGGGGGTTGCGAGTGGGAAGGTGAAGGGGAGTGGGGTCAAGGGGGTTAAGGGGTATGATGGGAAGTAAATGCGGAAGCGATGTATTGAACTGTGGATTGTTTGACGGGCTGTCTTGATTGAGATTGTACATGGGTACCTATGCAGATCCTGATAACTACTATGAGATGGGCAGGCAAATACTGCAGCCGGGTGTCGCAAATTATGAAGCTCTGGCGTGACTAGGTCCAAGCCGAGGCTACCTTAGAGCCGTCAAACCACCCACACTTCTGGCTATCAATCTTTTCAGTTGTCATATCTTACGACTCCATATGACGTTCTAATTTCATGTGGCGGTAGGTGGTATCGATTTGCCGCCTGCCGAAAGAACTCCGTGGGGATTACGTGGCGGATGACGTTACTGAACCAATCCATGTCCCACTGCGCTTTATTCCAGTCCCTACGTTCGTAAAGGAATACCTCTGGATCCCACAGTTCACCAACATCCCCGTCGAATCGTATGACGGAAGTACCCTCGACAATATCTCGGATAGTTTTCGCAAAGTTGGCAGGCAGATCCCGTGAGCTGTTATATTTCCGCACAAGGGGCCTAGAGGGTGGAACAGGCTCATTCAAAAGTCGTGCTTCTTGTGTAGCTGCTGCGTATTTGAGTAGGTTCCATATTTCCAAGGCTTCTTCCGTCGACCCGTCGATGACCAGGGTGAAGGAGTGAGTGGGCATTCCTAGCGAAGATAACGCCAACGCTTCTTCGATCCAGGGAATCATGACTCTGGAACACATGTCACTGAGAAGCCATGGGCAGCCTGTATCTAACCCTGTGGACCAGATGAAACCTTGAGGAAGAAGATTCGTGAATAGGCCAATGCGCCTTTCTATACGAAGTTGGGGATTCTTGATGCAAAAGGGTATAAGGCCGCGAGCATGGAGTTCAGGTCGAGACACCGCTTTGAAATCTTCGTCGAGTACTATCGTGCGCAGATTACGCATTCGCTCTGGTGGCATACGTTGTACTATGAAAATCAGCAGGCGTCCACTAGAGGGGGGGTAACAGTGTGAGCTGTACGACTTACAAAGGCCGATCGCAACAGACGCGGCAGAGAAGAACCATCTCTCGCTAGCCGCTTGGATATGGGATGTCATTCCTGGATAGTAGATAATACCCTCTTCGGTCGTAGGGAGTTCGGTATCAGTGTCGTCTGGGATGCAGAGCAGAGCCTCTAGCTTTGATAGTTCCTCATCATCTGGGCTGCTCCAAGGTTTGGGATGCCACCCATATACATCGCTTAGTGCACCCGTCAAAAACATGTTCATTTGCGACAGACCCGGTGCAAACTCGATGGGGCACCATCCCATTCCGAACGTGTCGCGAGCAAGCCTGACAAATTCTGGGCCATTACGCCTCCTGGCGCATGCTATAGCGTAGTGAAGGGCGTCGCTGAATAAACCAGTAGACAAGTCCTTCGACTGGCCAGGGCCTTCGGAGGCTTCCAATGTGTCGCACTGTTCCCATACCGCTTGCCGCAAGGGTCCGTGGAACCATCCTTTGACTGAAGGAAATCGAGAATCCAGATCAACAAAGTCCTCTTCTAGTAGCAGGCCAAACACTTTGATCAGAATTCTGCGCTTTTGACGCTCAGCGTATCGAAGCACTATAGTGATGACGCGTTAGTTGTGAGATCATTTGATGCTATGACCGCGCCGATACTTACTGCATTTGAAACGGCCTGCTCGAGAACTCAGCCCCATGTAAGAACGCCCGTCGTTATGAGACAACTGCGTGCTGAAATGCAGTTTCCGGAAGACCATGTTCTTGAGCTCTTCGTGCGCAATTCGACAGGTGATGATGAGACCCAGACGAACCGTTTGTTTTGGCTCAGTCGAGTAGAGCATCTTTCCAGTGTCGCTGTCGTAATGATAGCCGTCTTCACCGAGTACATATTTTTCGTAAATAGCATCCCGAACTTCTCGAGGCAGGCGAAAGAGAGGTGATTGTAGTTGTGCGGAGTAATAGTTTGTCCTGGGCGCAGTCATGAACGGAAACCCGTTCCAGTGGGCGAATTTCTTGGACGTCATTAGCGGAAGCAATATGAGAGACAAGAGGGAGAAGCGAGGTATATGTGTGGAAGCTTTAAGAAGCGTCCGTCCAGGAAGAGGTTGTGCATGACTGTACTCGATATCCCAAAGACTGGGACACTGTGAAGGACCATGGTTCGCGCGTGCGAGATGGTACCGCTGATTGGCTAAGCGAGAGCCGCCCGTACTCCTCGCTGTGACTCTGACGATGACTCATGCCTCCCCAGCGCTGCTCTGAGAACCGTCCACTGCTCAATCTTATGCGTTCGTCCGAAGTGACCGAGATTGTCGCGCGATGTAGGGACTGTTACAACCCAAACGCATGTGTGGCTGCAGAGGAGAAGGGTGCAAGTGGGTGGAGGCGGGACTGATCGTTAGCGTAGTGGCGCTAAGCCAATCCCGCCGCCTTTATCCCCTATGACGCGCGACAACAAATTCTAGTCCCTCACCATCAACGATTGAACGCGCCTAGATACGGCTATCGGCGTCACTGTGACAAGTTGTCAAATGCGATGCGCAAGAGTATCCTCTCCGAACCGAGTCTTGATTTGACTACAATATACGCCCTCAGAACGAATAGAGTGCGCCTTTGACTCAGACTGCGGTCTGGTTCTGGGTCGGACTAGTTATTGAGATTGTACTTCGGTATACGGTATGGTTGCAATAGCTTTGATGATACACGCTCGAAGCTCGAAGCTCACGATGAGACGAATGCAGGAGACAAAAGACGCAGTGGCTGTTGTTTTGTTGAATGTGCTTTTGCAGAGATGCGAGCACGACACAGGTTAGTAACGCAGTATATAATCGCAATGCAGGTGTATTTCCTAAACACGTTGTTTTATAGTATGCAGCAGTATATATATTCTTTCGAGGGTTTCAGTTATGGGAACAGAAGTGAATGTCTAAGATCACTTCAACGTCGAGCTATGGCGAATAATCTTGTCCTCTAGAGGTTAGCACGTTCACACCAGCACATTCGATCTTAGTCTTACAATGAAGTTGTCTGAAGATATTGCAGGCATTCAAAAATACTTGAGGAAATTGGTTATTAAAGGGATATGGATTTGTTATCGATTTGCCTATAAGAAGTAACATGGTACCTACTTTTCGGATTACTGGAACATGGAGAAGAGAATGATGAGACAATACTGTTTGCTTTGCGAGTATGCTACAATACTCACGGGAGTCGTATGGCAGTCCTCATCTCAATCTTCAACGCAGCCCGTCCACCATTCCTCACACGACTGCGTGGTCGATAAGCCTCTCTCCACAGTCCCGACCGTTCGATGTATCGTTATTTTGCTTGTCCTGTGAAAAATGTTGCGTGTAACCCTACAGATGTCTAAAGACATACTGGGATAGAAGACGTTGTTATTCCAATCAGCTAACCACTGCAGATCGGTCCAATTATTGCGCTCATAGAAGAACAGGTCAGTGTCCCAAGGGTCGCCCGCGTCCCCATCGAATTTGATACAGGATGTGCCTTCCGTGATATCTCGTACAGTCTTTGAGAAATTTTGTGGAAAGTCCCACCAATTCCTGTAAGGTATCGAGTGAGGGTCATCGGACCGAGTTGGTATCTCATACCCGTTCCGTCGATGGTACTCCAGGGTCGCCTCATGTAAAGCCGCCGCGTATTTGAAGCAAGTCCAAGCATCGTGTCCACCTTCAATCACCAGACTGAAGGAGGAAGCAGGCATCCCAAGCGCGGGTAATTCCAAAGCCGCTTCAATCCAGGGCATCATGTCTCGAAAACTGTATTCCATGACCCAATGGCCTGGCCCTGAAATCTCTCTGGTGAACTCGAGCGCGCAAAGTCTGATGCGTCTTTCTATGCGAAGTTGGGGATTTTCTCGACAGAAGGGTATGAATCCACGCGCATGGTGTGCAGAATGGGAGACGGTGTCTGTGGATTCGTTGAGGATGATCGTACGCATATTGTGTCTCTGCTGTTCAGGTGTTTTTTTCACTGAGCTTGTTAGTGGGAAGTTATACCATGATGAAGAGAGTCATAATGGAGATGAGTGTTGGGAGGGTTTGAAGGAATACTCACAGAAGTCGATCGCAATAGATGCCGCCGAGAAGTACCAGAGAGTGCATCCAGAGGCCCGGACGTGGTCTGATATGTCTTCAAAGTAGAAGGTCCCATCCTCCGCCATCGGGTGACGAAAGTCTGAGTCGACAGGTAAACAGATGAGAGCCTCTAGCTTAGCCAGATCTTCATTGCTTGGTAATATCCACGAGTTGGGATGCCAGGAAAAAACGCTGTACAATGCGCCTTCATCAAAGTAGTTGTTGTTGGGGTCAGAGATGTTCCAAGTAGCCAATGGGCACCTGCCCAAACCAAACACACTACAGGCCAGCTCCGCGAATTTGGGCGGATCGCGGGTTTTTGCCAGGATGAGGATGTGTTGAAGAGCGTCGCTGAAGTCTAGTGGAGCCAGATGTAGGCCGTTGTCCATCTGTGTCGGACGCAACACTTGAACTGATGGAAACCGGTGATGCAGATCAAGCCAGTCTTCAGGCTCTAGCAGTTCGCACACCGTAATTAATATCCGTTGCTTTTGACGGTCTATCAATCTCAACACTATGATGTTCCGTGTTAGTGAAAGGGAAACACTCTAGGCTCGAGTATAGATGGAGCACTTACAGCACTGAAATCGCCCAGCTCGAGAAGCAAGCCCTAGAAAAGCCTGCCCATCATCTTGTGAAAGATGGGGGCTGAACTGCACCTTACGGAAAGCGCAATTCTTGAGCTCCTCAGCAGCAATGCGGCACGAAACCATGAGACCAAGGCGAACAATGCGCTTAGGCTCTGATGATGGTGATTGCTCGAGCATCTTCCCGGTCTCACTGTCGTAATGGTAGCCATTGTCGCCTTCCCCTAGCGCGTAGTATCCATAGATGATATCCCGAATCTCGCGGGATAGTCGGAAGAGCGGTGATTGTGTCTGACCAGAGTAGTATTTCGTTCGCGGGGCAGTCATGAAGGGGAAACCATTCCAGTGCGCGAACTTTTTGGACGCCATGGTTGAGGGAGGAAGTATCGGCACGAGATAGGAGGTTTATATAGTATGCTGCATCACGAAGCCGGTTGAGTGTGACTGCGCTCACGCTTTGGGACGCGATGGCAGACACTGGTACTCGCGGACCCCCATTGGCCCTCGCCGATCAGTGATTGGTTACGTGCGTCGTGAGTCACAGTATTGCATCACCAATACCACTAAGCGACCTGGAAACTCATCAAGTCAGTGTTCAATATCAAAGGACTCACAATTTGAGAATATTCGCCACGCTCCTATGAGTCAGACTCCTATCTAGGGCGCCGTACAGTCTGCGTTCCGATAATGTGGACATCCAGGACGCGGAACTTTGGTACGACCCGTATGTGCCCAACGCCTGGCACCGTATCATGCGGCCCCAGATTCGATCCTCCACCGCCGCCGACGGCCGTGTGCCTAAGCTGGCATAACGCTCAATACCAAGCGACACATCTCTCATCATTGCTCCTGCTCTCCATGGCCATGCCCTACCCGCACTGACACAGCGCTCGACAACCAGCGACGTCTCGCCGCATCATCTCCCGACACTTCACCTCCACCTTCACCTTCACCGACCGCCCCGCACACGCGCCGCAACGCCTCCGATACCGCGACGCGACGTTGCGCAACCCATCGTGCACCGCCTCTGCCATACCGTCTCCACCATCTGTGACGTCGATATGGGCACAACGTAAAGGTTGGGGCTTTCGAGGGGAGCCGATTGCTCTGGAGTACACGGGCTTCGCGGGTATGTCACATTGGCTCTGCTCACACCCTCGAAAGAGTGAAAGAGTGGAGCAGGTTCGAGGCCCTCGCCGCGGACAGGCTTCAATTCCGAGGTGCCATCGGGCCGCTCTACGTTCTCGATTAGCACACGGATGCCTACCCACCAGTGGGCAAACTGGCGGGTAGGACCTTTTGCCAGAGTCTGAGGATTGCGATCTCTCTGCGAAGAACAACATTTCTTCTACAACACTACCGACAACTATAGAGAATATCTAAAAGTCAAGTCCTGTTTGTCTGTAACATCAGCACCGGCCTCGTATACTGTGACAGTCGACTCTTTCTCAAGTTCGTCCCTCCTCTTGTTCTCACTCCATCCGTGGTACCAATAGTACGCCATAAGCAAGATAAGAAGAACCCAATCCACCACCGAAACAATCAAGCCGGCAGTATACCGAGGCGCAGTCTCCGTCGTCCACAGCTGTGGAAATCCAATGCAGCCAGAACAGTAACCAACAAAATACATTGTATTGACGACGGATCTCTTCGTGTTGCCCCGAATGTTCGACGCGTTCAAACTCATGGTGAGCGAGAAGATACTCGAGATGCAAGAGCCGAGCCAAGCCGCTATGATTATGGGCCAGCCGTGTAGAGGTAGTACCAGCAGCATAATACATCCGGCTAGGGGTATCAAAACGAGTCCGATTATGACAAGAGAACGTTTCTGGGGCCATATCAAGCACGCCGTGATTCCAATCCATATGGCTACGATCTGAACCGCTCCGGAGGGCGATCCGTGCAGTAGAGTGTCGCCGGAGGTATAGCTGAGTTGTTTGATGATCAAAGACGCGAACTTTTAAGAAGACTTGTTAGTGCGAGTATGATGTCTTGAAAGGGCTGACTTACAGTGAGCACTGGAGCCGGAGCAGTGACGAGGATACCGAAAGCAAACGCAGCATATGTCTTGAAGTCGAATGCAGCCTCCTTGAGTTGTGCCATGGAAAAGGATGTCTTGTCGCCGCCGTCGTGGTCTTCAGAGAGCCGATGACGAGCAGCGACCTTTTCTTCCGCGGTCAAAAACCAAGCCGTATCAGGACCGTCGGGCATGACGAAATAGAAAACTGCTCCGCAGAGCGAGGTGAATATCCCACAGACAAGGAACATAAGTCTCCAAGATGCCAGCGATGATTTGTTGTGTTCTCCGATGCCGTACATGAGTAGAGAGCCGACGATTTGCGCAAGAGCATTGCATGTAATCCAGCAACTATCACACATTCTGTTAGCTTTCCGTCTCTGTTCCTCTTCTCTCGCGACGTACCCTATGCGTAGCGCATGCTCGCTTTTCTTGTACCAGATGCTTGTAATGGTGATGAAGGCTGGACTGACTGCCCCTTCTGCTGCTCCTAGAAAAAAGCGCACAGCTAAGAACTGATGGTATGTTTTTGGAGCGGCAAGGCACATGCAGACTGCACCCCAGAGAACACTGTTGAAACTTAGTCATCGGATGCATAATCTGGCGGTAATGGATTTACATTGTAATTCCAACGAACTTGGACAGTCTGAAGCGGCTCATGAGGTAGATGAACGGGAACTCGGACGCAAGCTGTCCAACGTAAAATATGGAAGAGGTCCATGCGAACTGGTTGCCCCTCAAGTTCAGGTCAGTGATAAGACCATACACTGATGCATAGCTCAGGCTCTGCTTGTCTAGATCTGCTCATTCGTCAGAGACATGTTCCTTGGTCGACAATCCTGATCTTACACTGGAAGAAGAAAACGAAGCACATCTGTATTGATCGAGGTTATAAGCTTGTGTCATCGCAAGAGTAGCACTGGGAGGGTTACCATTGGCAAGACTACCATATCAGTCTTTTTGAGGACGCGTTTTTCCAGAGCCAACATAGCGAGATCTTCAGTCTCTGAATTTGACTGGGTGTCATTGGCCAAGGCGGTATCTGGCTGTGCCTTCTCGTCGCTGGCGATGTGACTTGCCATGTTGGCGTCGAAGGCAAGTACGAGATTGACGAGAAATGTAAGAATCCGTTGAAGTACAGTCTTACTGTCCAACAACTTCAAGGTTCTGGCCACGACAAGTAAGATATATGGATAGTCAGGATAAGGCGTATCGTCGTATCGTCGCTATCAGGCTACTTTGCCGAACGTTGGCAGGGATTGAAGCCGCGCGAAGCTAGACGCCGCCTGTGCCGAACACAAGTCACACACGCGATACTATCTACCCAGTGAATCATGGAGAGATAAAGGTGCCGCTATCGTATTCTGCATAGCGCGCTGAGCTCGACGGTATGCGACGATACATTTCCACACCTGTGGCGCCGGAACACACGAAGTTTGGTTTTGCCGGGAGCTTGGAATGCGGGGAGTTATCCACAAAGCTAGCAGCTCGCTAGCTAGAAGGGCCTACTTCTCAAAGATAGCACATATACCCGATGCTAAAGTATGACTCGGGTCGGGTATCTGTACCCTGACCACGGGTAAACTCCAACTTCCAATACCCGCTCGGATGGGAGACGAACAGCAGCACGGTACAGACCAGTTCAATATCCACAACGTTCGGAAAAATCATTGACTATCAATTGAGTAAGCAGAACGGTAATTCGGCATGATCTGGTGCCTTAAGATAGTAGAAGTGATATCGATTTATTTTCCTGGCTTTCATCACCCATTTTCCGCTGTTTCTCACGCATTTGTTACCGAGCATATCCCTTTGACGCCATGGTATCTGCATCTTCATACCACGGACAACTGCTTAAGCCGTGGACACCTCCAGCACAAAAAGCCTATATCTTCACCAATGTCAACCTAGTGGATGTCGAGGCCGGCGTAATTCACGAGAATGCCACTGTCAAATTGTCCGGAGGACGAATCGAACAGGTCGAGCTTCAACACAGCTCCGAAGGCATGCTCAAATCGTCCAATCTTGCTGACGTCGCGACACGAGTCGATCTTCGAGGAAAATACCTCTGTCCGGGATTGTTCGATTGCCATGTCCACATCATTGCAGTGCCTGGCGAAATGCAATGGCAAGATACCAAATCTCTGAACCCAACGACGTCAGCCTACAGACACGCGCATGTTTGTAAGCAAATGCTCGATAGAGGCTTTACCACAGTAAGAGATTGCGGCGGAGCGCAATTATCTCTCAAGCAATCGATCGAAGATGGCCTTGTGCAGGGACCTAGATTGTTTATCGCGGGCAATTTCCTAAGCCAGACAGGCGGGCACGGAGATACGCGAGGCTCCCACGACCACTCAAACATTGAATGCTGCGGCGGCGGCTCATCAAATTTCCCATCCTTTATTTGCGACGGTGTGCCAGAGTGCTTGCGCGCAACGCGCGAAAACATTCGTACCGGATCCGACTTTATCAAAATCATGGGGGGAGGTGGTGTTTGCAGCCCGACAGACCGCATCGACAATGTTCAGTTCACGTCGGAAGAAATCAGCGCCATTACAACAGTCGCCAAAAACAGCCAGACGTATGTGACTTCTCATGCGTATACCCCGCAATCCATTCGGCAAGCGATGGAGAACGGGGTAATGGGTATCGAGCATGGTAACATGATCGATAAGGAGACAGCAGAGTTGATGGCCCAGAAGGGCGCATATCTCACCCCAACTCTGGTAACCTACACTGCAATGGGCGATGAAAAGTTTGCTGGATACATGCCAGCCGAGTCCATGGAGAAAAATGCGGAGGTATACGTGGCAGGGCTGCGAGGTCTTAAGATTGCTGCGGACGCTGGGGTAAACATATGCTACGGTTCTGATCTTCTCGGACATCTCGGCGTACGCCAGCTCGATGAGTTCACCATCCGAAGTAAAGTGCTACCTCCTCTGGAAATCTTACGAAGCGCGACCATCATCCCCGCCAAGATGATGCGACAGGAAAACTTTCTGGGGCAGATTAAGCAAGGCTTCGCTGCGGATTTGCTGATTCTGAACGCAAATCCTTTGGAAGACATATCGGTTTTGGCACAGCCGGAGAGAAATCTCTTGGCTGTCATTAAAGATGGTAGAGTGTGTACGAGTAGATGGAGCTTGCTTGATGAGGATGCTCACGAGGTACGGCCGTTTATAGAATAAAGATTATCGGATTCCTTAGATCGAATCTGATGTCTTTGCCTGGAGTTGTGATTTTGCCTGCGCGATACATCATGGTCAGAGTATGCTCAACCCTGGCCATAGGTAGTCTGCCCGGTGTAGCCTCCAAGAAGCTGCGTCATATCCAGTACGTCTAGCCGGCCGTCATCCCACTCAAATCCTCGAGGAACCTCTCCTTGGAAAGTTGATCCGTTGAATGCATCGAAGTTCCAGTTAACATTTCCTTGATCAAGCCAGCGATAGTCCAGAGCGTCAAGCGTGTCGTTATTAGAGCCGACTTCGTACATGAGAGGGCTCTCGTGAGCGCGTATCTCAGAATCGCTCGGCAGAGTTCCTGGATCGAGTTGAGAACAGAAGTTGTCCGGCCGCGAATCATGACTTCTAGATGATTCTTGCTCTGACATCCAGTTCACCCAGGCTTGATATGAGGCCGTTATAGATGTTGGTTGCATGGAGCCTCCAACTGAAAGCCCGCCTTGGCCTCGGTATATCTTCTGACGCAAGTCGGAAGCAAGTCGCCTGAGCTGCTCAATAGTATGAAGATCCGACGAAGCTCCACGGCAGCCTCCATGTGCCATGTAACGTAACATGTCAACGCCATCGTCTATGATTCTGCTCGTCTCGTCTCCGTGCTGCAGGATACTATGGAGTATCAATATGATCAATGCTGCGGCTGAAGCATGATGATCTGTGAACGAGAAGCGGCAGAGCAAGTTGTGCTTCTTCAAGACCAGTATTAGCTCAATCGTCGCCTTCGCAGCGTCGACGCAGAGGGTCGCAAGGTCCGTCCGACTTTGGGGCTGTTCCGGTGCGGGGGTTGCAGAGTCCGATATAGCTTGAATGCGTTCACGCGAGACTTGGAGAAGGGAGGCACGGCCCATGAGGATCCACGCCCAGTGATAGTGTATATGCAGGTGAACGGTCGTACGGAAATTCCGTTCGCTGGGAAGCAAGTCGTTGGGATGGAGATTGGAGAAAAGCTGAGATCGCCACTCCTTCAATTGTTCTGACAGATCTTTGATGTTTGGTGGCTTCGATTCGAGAGGACTTACGTGATCGTCAGCATCGAACAATCGCTTTTGAGGCCTTCGCTTACATGTTTTGCACGATTTTCGAAACGATACGCGTTAACTTCAAGTATTCAATTTGATGCTGCACGTTCGATTGATATTCGAGGGTGTCCAACGACGGATGATACTTAGGAAAGGGTGCATCGATCGCGTCTTCTGCGATGCTAGAAGGCCGACCTAAAGCAATACTTGTGCGTCTAAGACGGTATTAGCTGAGGCCAATCGTAGGAAAGGATGTGCCATACTTGTCTATAGAATAAACACTCCACCACAAACGATTGCGAACTTCCGTAATTCGAGGATCCAATGTCACGGCTAATGTCTTGCGGTGCAGCCCACTGGCGATTGACATCCTCATAGCCATTCCAAGGTAGAGATAAGACGTATCTGGCAGGTTGTATGGCAATTTGTACAGACCTGCCAGTAGACACACTTGGACTCCCTTCAGAGTACATGTGTCAATGACCCTTGGAATAAGCTTCTGAGCACTGTCGTAGAATTTCTTTCCAGGGTCTATAGGAAGCGGGTCGTTGGATGTAGGTCGGGATCTCAAATGCGCAAATTGGCTACCGAAGGCAAAGACAAGCAAAGCGAAGCAAATAAATGCATCGTCAATCGCACTTCCGGATGAGGTGTCGGTGTAATAGCTGTTGAGAGTAGTATAGAGCCACTCTCTGTCGCAATAAAAGAACGTTGCTTCGACGTAATAAAAGAATGTGGAAACAAGGAATGCAGCGATCTCTTGAGGAGGGAACGCCTTCATTGCCTCGATTGACTCTTTACTGTGAACAGGCGGTGGTCTGACGATGTTGGCCATTTCCTAACACGGCGTTAATAAAAGCAACCTCACTAGTAACATCAGCTACCAGATATATGACATACCAACGAGCTTCGGTTGGTTGATTCTAGGACCCTCTTTCGGGTAGTGGAATGCAAAACATCTTGAACACAAAGAAGGAAACTCTCATTGGAACGGAGACCAGTATATTCTAGACGAAAGTGAGCACATAGGACGCAAATGTATTAATGTCACACTCAACACGTACGGGTCCGATCGAAATCCTCTACAATCAGAATAGCATCTTCTGGTTCTACGCTGGGGACCGGTGACGGCTCACCGGGCGATCGCGCTCCACAGTCCGACCTCGAGTCTGTTGGACTTTTCCCTAACGAAGTCTGAACTGCTTCTGGCGCAGCAAGTGAGACATTACTGTCTGCGGGGCGGCCCAAGACTCTAACTTGAGCTGTCGGCATCGAAGAGGGGGTTCCAACATCCTTGTCTTCGTGTCCAGAGCCAGGAGGATGTCTGTCCATCTGCTGGCCGTTGACAGTGGCATTTGAGCTGGTTGCGGGAGAACCCGACGCTTCAGCTGCATATAAATCACACTCTTCACCTTTCTCAACACACCTCTCGCAAGCACCTACATTTCGTGCTATGCAGCGGCTCTTGCGAGCCCTACAGACTGCGCATCTGGATTACGTGTCAGTTGCCACGGCGAGAAATTGCTGTATCGCAGAGCCGCAAGATGAGCTGATCACTTACGCGCGTGAAACTCGAACTCGAATGTCATCAGGTACGCGTCTCAAGCGCGGATTACGTGGCATGACTAGATGTTGCCGGTGTACATCGCAGCCTTCCTGTTCTTGGGGATCGGAGTCTGCGCAAGTGCCAATGATCAGGTCGACACTTCCCCACCCGGCCCCTTATCTCACACGGATCGCTTGAGATCATGCCGAGGCAGCGTGCAGGGCAACCCCCTGCTAGCTCTATCGGCGTCGATTCGGCTCGCTTATTGTCGCCAACGCCTCCCGGGTATCTGCCATCTGCAGCGGGTGTGTGTTCCCTTCTCCATCGCAAAATGCTGTCTTCATGCTTCCTGGGCGACTAGAAAAAATTTCCCCACTTTAGGAAGCCTCCCCGCAGATTGATAGTGACAACCAAATCAGTGCGGTGGGAGATTACGATGATGTGTAACTAGCGCTGTACTTGTCCTTGACCCTTTCTTGTGAGCATGAGTTTGGTTCTCATTTTCACCCTGGGAATATAGCGAACTTGAGATCGTGCAATCATGCGACTATTCGCCGTTTTTCATCTAGTTCTTACCATAGAGGGATGCTGCTTTGCATCAAGGCCAACGGCAACAATAACAAACGGTACTGTCATCGGGCGTTCGCTGCCAGAGTTTAGTCAGGATGTCTTCCTCAGCATCCCATATGCGGACCCCCCTCCCAGATTCAATATTTCGACTGGTCGGACAACTGAATTCGACGGTGCTTTTGATGCCGGGTGAGTAGAAAGCTCATTCAATTGACACTGACCTAAGAACATGTACAGCAACTATTCCACGGTCTGTCACGGAACAGGGTCTCCTCCCTCAGGTTCCAGATTCAGCGAAGACTGCTTAACACTAAATATCGTCCGCCCATCTTCCACGATAGCTAATTCCAGCGAACATCCGGTCGTAATCTGGATTCATGGCGGCGGATTCTGGCAAGGCAGCGCCGCAACACCTACGGAGAACGGAAGCTATATTGGTACGCCCTTTGTTCCCTTCGCGAAACCAGCATGGCTAACATTGGCCGTCATTAGTTCAGCAGTCTGTCGCTCAGGGCACGCCAATTGTGGGTGATCTAAGATTCCTGAATGCCACCCTTTCTCGTATGAGCTTACTAAAGGCCTCTATAGATCTTCGTCTCCATCCAGTATAGACTTTTGTTTTACGGATTCCCTTCAGGAGATGAACCACATTCTCTTGGTGTAGAGAATCTTGGTTTGCTCGACCAGCGACTTGCTTTTCAATGGGTACAAGAAAACATCGCTGCATTCGGTGGATCTCCTTCGAAAGTCACCATCATGGGACAAAGGTTAGCGGGTCGCTTTATGCATGCAAGTGATATGCTGACCTTGAGCAGTGCTGGTGGCACTAGTATCCTCCAACACCTCGTCGCATATGGAGGTCGAGATGACCACCTTTTCCGAGCAGGTAAGCTTCAATCTTCTTTCAACCACGATAATGATAATAACATCTCTAGCTATCGTTCAGAGTGGCAGCTTCTACGACGTGCCATGCAACTGGAATATATCATCCATTCGAGAGGCTCGTTATCAAGCGTTTCTCAACAAGACTGGTTGTGAAAACTTCTCGTGTCTACGCTCACTCGACAACGAGATACTTTTCAACGTTTCTTTACAGCATTACGACCAATTCCTACCTTCTATTGATGGTAACTTTATGACGGCACACCCTGTGGAGTTGTTCAATCAAGCAAAGCAAGTCTCTGTTCCACTATTAATGGGTGGTAAGTTCACACTTTCGCTAAGAATAGTGAGTGAAGTAAGCTAAGAAAACATCAGTGAATGACGATGAGGGCAACATTCTTGTCAAGCCCGGTTCCAACACAACAGTGGACATAGAGCAGGCTCTGATAGGTCTAAATGGATGTAAGTCATGGCCCCGTTGCAGACATGATCGGATTGGACTGATAAGCTTCAGCAAGCTATGCGATCCAAAGCTCCGCGTTCAACAAGCTTTTTGAGTTATACCCGGATGATCCAACTGCCGGTGTCCCACATAACACTGGCCCCGGCGTGCTACCGACTGGATTTATGGATAAGACGGTTCGTCCTACTACATTTAGATGGAGCTCCGGCTGATACCTAACCCTAGAGCTATTTGATCTTCGGCGATGCGATCGAGCACTCGGTTCGCCGTTGGATGACAGGGCTATATGCGCAAGCTCGCAACCCTGTCTACAGCTACAGATTCGCTCAGGTTCCCTGGCGTTCATCTGTACTCCTTGGAGCAACTCACAGTTCTGAGGTAAGTCGACCCATCAATTCGTACCCTCTCACTCGCGTCAACGCCGAGACTGACGCGCAACATAGATGAGCTACGTGTTCGGTAAACCTGACGGTCCCCGGTCTTCCGATGCCCGCCTTGCTCAACATATGAGTGGGGCGTGGGCGTCTTTCGTACATGGCCTAGACCCCAACTTTGAAAACTCTAGTCTGCATTGGCCGGACTATCGAGTCGCAGGTCAAAACATGGTATTCGTGGCCGATGGGG